TCTCACTCACCCAAAAACCAGTTTCACTTCCAGCCAGAACTATTTTCTTATCAGATTACAGGGCAGCCACACAAGTGGTAGTGCCAACAAAGGGAAAATGTGAACCGGGGCAGTCAGGAGCATCTTTTGGTCTCAATCTGCCTACAAGTCTGCTTAAATCAGTAGTGAAATTGCAACCTAAATCCCCCGAGCTGACAATATTTTCAGAGAAACTTCAGTTCAAAACCTGTTAGATTAAAATAAATCAAATAAAAACAGAAAACTAAGCACATGTGATGGCTCCGCACCTGTTCAGGCATTCTTTTCTTACATTTACATGTTCATTTTCTAATCTCAAGGCCCTCTTTCAGGAGAGGAGTTCCTAAGGCATGGACCATGATCACACCTAGCCCTCAGTGCCGTGAGCCAAGACAGCAGAGTGATCTCCATGAGCTTTGCAGAACACATTTGAGGAAAGAACACTGGATGAGACACTTTTACGCCCTCTGTTGTTGGCTGGGTTTTTTTGCTTTGGTTTGTTGTTTAGGGTTTGGGGGGGCTTTGTACCAACTGTATATACACTTTACATTAAACAGATAATGCAGAAACAATCCAAGAAGCAGCACCGAAAACATCCTCTGACTTCCTAAACCTTTCAGATTCTCTAAGACCCTAGGACTTTCCAGCACAAACTATGCTACAGTGATCTTGTCAAAGCTGTGTAAAACCACCTTGCATGTTAGTTATTACTAAGAAAATAACATTTCAGTATTAATAGAATAAGGTATGCTGGAGTTATTTCATCAATAACTGAGACACATTATACTTAACATATGAATATCAATTTATTGTTACAAAAAAACCTTCAAGATAACATTCTAAAAGCATTTCACGACACCCAAGTCTTTGTAACTGAAATAAAATAACCGCCAAGAAGCTTTTAAATAGGCTTACAGGTACTCATCAGACTTTCTGTATTCCAGCAGTTTTCTTTCTAATTCCAGCCTTTTGGTTTCACTGGAAGAAAATAAACAACATATAGTAAGATAAAACTATTTCACAATCTAAATTCTCAAAATGCAAGAAATAAAGCATTTTACAGAGCATAAACTCTTCAGAGCTGAGAGCACATTTTTGCTAGATTGGTAGTTTTACAGAATGATCTGCCAGCCAAGCTTATCACAAAAACCCCAAACCTCAAAGCTTTCACATCTCTTTGTTCCTTGCTGGAACAAGAGCTCGGTTGGCTTAAAGGGAGAAGGTGCCTGAACATGTATAAATCCACAGACAGCCAGAGATGTCTTGCCCCCCTGAAGCTGCTGTTCCAAGTCCCTTCTCCGGCAGCCCCAGACAGGGCTCCAGCCCCCGGGACTGGCAGTTCACGAGCTCATCTCTCCCCTTCTTGCTCCCTCCAAGTCACAGAACAGACCGTGTTCCAGGAGGGACATCCTTTGCTGAACTTGTTCAAGTGGCTTGGTCCTCAGAACTTCTCATGGGAATGTAGCAATCTTAAAAGAGAGTTCCAAAAAACCCCAACTCCTAACCAGCTTGCAGACCCAATGTGCTATCCAAGTATTTTATTTAACGGTTTGAACTTAAAATCATGCACGTATTTCACACTTATGCATTAAAGCCAAGTACATCAAGATATGCTAGCACTACCTGCCAGAACTTAAAAGGATAGCAGATATAAGTAATCCTCGGAAATATTTGCAGTGGAAATGCTACAGGGCCATCTGGATGTGCCAAGAACAATGCAAGGGTACAGGGCCATGGGGTGATCAGACTGCCCAGAACCAACTCCATACCTCACCCACAATCTATTTCAAAGAGGATCTATTTTCAGGAAGAAAAAACAGTAAAGCTGATATTATTTAATAATACAAATTGCATCCCATAAGCAAAAAACCAAAAAACCAACACAAAAAAACCAAACCAAACAATTTCTAAGAGAGGCTTCTGGTAGACTGACATGACAAACCCTGCAACAATCAAAGTACCCCAAGTTGCTTATTAAGAAAGAGTACTAAATCGCTATTAGCCAGGAAGGCTGCACACGTGCGAGCGATCCCAGCAGACACCCGAGACTGCACGCACCCATGTGGCTGGGCATGTGCATCTATGGACTTGTGCACTCCCCCACACCCACGTCCATGTCACAGCCGCACACACTGGCCAGTTGCCCCACACGGAGGAAAGCAAGGCAAAAAAACCCTTTCTGCTTCTTAGCCTGAGAGACCAAGGCATCTGTTTTACCCATCTGATCCTGCCGCTGTCTGAAGCCAGATTAGGTTTCCATGTCATGTATGCAATTTAAAAGCCACGCTTCATCTGGGATCTCATCCTTTCAATTTCCTTTTACATGATGGACAGCTAAGCAAAAGCAGATTTCAAGATCTTGTTTTTACACTTCTAGAAGTAATTTTCATGACTCCATGAAGAACACTGATATCCTGATGGATGTAAAAGCCGACGGATGCAAACAGCCATCAGCTCCAATCCTATTTCTCACTCTCCAATACCATAGGTAGCACATCACATTCCTCAGCTCCTGAAAGATCATTTCCTCTCTGCCAGCGTGGCTTTCCCGTATCCCATTCCTTAGCCTGTTACAGCTATTTAGACAGCACATGCATATATAAGTAAGGTCTTCTCAGGGCAAGACACAGCAGTATAAAAACATCAGGTAAGAGCCTCTCGGCACTTCAGCCATCACTACAGGTGCCTAAAAGGGTTACTGCTCAGCTTGTGGTGCTTTGTAGAACAGCTCTGCCTGAGCACTGAATCGAGGCCATCAAGACTTTACTTGTAGACTTGCTTGCCCAGGCTCCAGCACGGTTTCTTTGCATCAGCAACAGAAGTGAAGTTTAAAGCAGCACAGGGATCATTCTTGCCACTCCATTGCACTGCCACCTCCTTCTTCACATGAAAAAGCCACAAAGCCTTCTGCCTGAAAATTGTATGTGTTCACACAGTTTTGCATTACGTTAAAATGGTGCAAGCTGTCAGTTATCTACTTTTAAGTGAGCAAAAATAGCACACTTGAGAACTTTTTAAGGATCCAGGTGGCTCATTTTCAAACAACCCTGAATCTTAGTCTACAGCTCTCTAAAGAGCATTAGTTTGGGATTTGAGAGCAGAATTAAACTCCCTGGTCAGCCACAAGCTCTCTCTAATCTCCCACGTTTCAGCAGGCATCGATCTGCAGTGATATTCGATCCCTCAACTCCCATTTAAACCAGCAGGACTAAGATGCCTCAGTATTTTTGAGATACCAGGCTTTTGTCTCTTTGTGCTTCAGTTCCACATCCATAATGTAGGAATTAACGGCACTCCTGTCATGAAACCCTGTTGAGATAAGTACACAGAAAATTGTGCAACACTTGGGCACAATGCAATCTTCCCATAAAAGTAAGAAATGATACTTTTGCTGTTGTTTTTCTACACCAATCTGACATTAAATCAACTGTTGAGCACTGAGCTGCACCTACCCTACCAGCCTGAAGCCCAGCCAGAGCCTGCTCACGCCGTTGCCAGCTGAGCCGGTCCCCCCGGTGGGTTAGATGGGGCCCATTCAGCACCATTTCCTACACACAACTGACACCAGCAAATATTTCTGAAACTAAAAATTCTACCTGGTTTATATCCTCCATTCAGGACATCTATTTGTACACATTTACTGCAAATCACCCATCGTGCGCAGCATCTGGCCTCACTGTCTGAAAAGCAAAGCTACTCACAGTTGCAAAGTTAGTCAGAGTGTTAAGTACAGCACTGAACTGCATAGTTTATTTACTTCATCTCCCACACTGCTCAACACTGCCTTTCTCACCAGCAACCACTGAGGACTAAGTGCTGAGCAGTCACAACACGGTCAGGTCTGTATGAAATGCAGCAGGTAAACTCTCTGCCCCATTTCACTTATTATTGTAGACACCTCAAACCTAATTCTTTGTAATTTTGCACACAACACAGGTACCACTGACCTGTGTGAAGACCTACGCGTGAAGTAATTTTTATATTTGGACCAAAGTACCAGCATTAGGAAATAAAACATGGCCAATAGAGTCTAACAAGGAATTTAAGGTACAGTTACAGGTTTTTGCCCAAGTCTTAATGCTTAATATCTGGTGGCTGATTTCTCAAGCACTTCAGAATTAAAGTATTTAAAGAAAAAAAACAGACTCGTGAGAACAGGTGGAAAATAAATATTCACAAGAACTCCCTTCTAGTTCACCAAGTCAGATGGGGACAGAACCAAGCAGCAGCTTCCCCCACCATACTCAAGCTCTTGGACATACGGCTTATTAGGAGTGGCTCATTGTTTGCTTAAAGACAACTGCGAACTGAGAGCAGGGCTGCAGTCAGGAGTGAACCAGATGTCGGGCACTTCAGGCCTTAGAACAGGCGACTTGAAATTAGATCAGTGCAGAATTCCAAAGCAGGACTTAACAAGCCAAAACGCTCCAGTGATTTAACAAAAGGTTTTATATTCTACATTTTTAAAAGTTGTTTAGATAAAAGGTATCACTTCATCCAAGAAATTCTGAAGAGACAACTGCAGCGCCATCCCCAGAGGCAACCTTTCACACTCCCAAAAGCAGCATACAACTTACTATCTGGTGTAACTACTACTCCTTGTTTGCTAGCACAATCAAATACAAACATCTTTTATTTTATATTTTAAAGTACATACAAGAGAAGTGTGCCAGGTAGAAAAGGTGAATCTACTTATCACAAGACCTGCTAAGCTGGGTCTCCAAAGGAAGCACAGCCTATGCAATCATGCTGTCTGTCTGTCTGCCTGTTAACTCCCCTTCCCCAAACAACCTGTGGACCTTCTGTGTGACCAAATTACACCAGGGAGCTGACGCCTGAGCTGTGTGATGTCCCCAGAGGTTTCAGAGCAGCTGAGGAGGGGCAGTCCAGCCACAGAGCAAGCTCAGTCCTAACTCAGACAACAGAGAAGCTACAAAAAAAGTAAGAAGTGACTCAACTTCATTCAGAGTGGGCTCTCGGGAGGCAGAAGACATCTCTACTCACAACACAAGGGATATCTGCACACAAGGACAGAGTTTAAAGCAGTATGCAGTCTAGAACACTCAGATTTTAATCTGCCCTCTCCCTTCACTTTCTAACGCTGCAATTTAGATAAAGTGGCTTCCCTGTCTAGGGCCCACATCTTTAATAATTTCTATACAATTAAAATATACTGTGTATATTCTTATCCAGCCTTTAAACAGCATGTTATTCCTGTTTTGCTTGCCAGTGGTCTTCCAGACCAGAACAGGAAATTAGGGAAGACATACACAGCATATTTTGTCAAAGCAGTATCTACATGAAGTTTAGATTCTCATGGCCATGGTGTTGTGCTCAATCTGTATGACTGAGATGCTAGCGTGAGGCTCAGAAATCAAAGGCTTCTGTATTACACAGAAAACAGGCACTGCTTAAAAAGCAACTTCATACTAGTATACCATGAATGATCTCAAGAGACTTCCTCCAGCCAGAAAGAAAGTGCTAATTGACACCAATTACTGTGGTTATGGCAGTGAGCAACAGGCCGGGAGCATCGCTAATTGCACACAGCTCCAGAGGAGCTGACAGTGATGGAGATCCCTCAGGCCAAAGCCCCCTCGGGAAGCTGGTGTCACCACATCCACATGCTTTGTTCCTGAAGTCAGGGCCCCCTGAAACACCCATAAATTAAAACATCTAGGATAACTTTTTTTTAAAGATTAAGAAGATGTCTGTAGCAGAAACACCCATACACGTCCGTTCATCAGCTAGAAGCTCCAAAACACCATCATCTGTATTATTTGCTTGTTTGTTTAAAGTAACAGGTGATTTTATAAATATGGCCAGAAGCGCTTCAGGAGAACTTCCCGGACAACAGGTCTGCAGCACCCTCAGAAGTCACCCAAGGTGCTGATAGAGCCGTCACACAGCACAGTGAGAAAAAACACCGGAATCCGTGTGAGCAACGAGCTGCCTTTAAGCCCCCCGCC